GTAGTGTATATACATATACATGCATGCATACATACATACATACATACATACATACATACATACATACATAATACATACCCACATACACCTTGCTGGACAACCAAAAGCATCTAAAACTTGGGTGTACACACACACACACACACACACACACACACACACACACACACACACCTTGCTGTTACAACTAAAAGCAGCTTAAGTCTCTAAGAGCTAACTTGTTTGGTTCCCTAAGTTTGATATTCATCAAATCAGCCTCAAGTATGGAGAGTCTTTGGCATTTGATGGCATGCATTCTGATAAACCTATTGTAAACAAGAAATACTGTTAGTAAAAATGCATTTAACACACATAATCTACCAAGCATAACAAACACTGTAGAGTTATCTGTCATTAGGCCTCACAATCTCACCTGAGTTTGGTATAGGCTTAACCTCAATGTCCTGCCCAAGACCCTAAGAGTAACCTTACTATATATTGTTATTCCATGAAAAGATCCAAATTCACATTTTGAAGTACAACCTACTGAATGCCTATCACTTTTGCATCATTATAAAAAAGTAAGTCAAATCATGAGTTAAAGATCATCTCTTTTTCTTAAAAAGTCCTTTGATTAAAAGTAGGTATAGTTATTAAAGTTAACATTTGAACAGCTTTTAGCAGCCCTGTCTGCATATTCCCAGCAGGTCAACACATCCCTCAGTCCTCACCAGAAACTTCCATTTGCAGTAGGCAGGGATTAACCCAGACACCCACAACTGGCCAAATACATAGAATAATAAACCACAGGATGCTCCAAAGGAAACATAAATACCGCACCCAGCCCACCACCCACTCCCAAGACTCAGAGATCATTGCAGAAGAGCCAGGAGTGACAATGACAAAAACATCTGGACACAGGAGGGCAGCTGCAAATACAAACTCACAGTGATTGCAACAGCACAAAACCTTTGCAAGCCCCAGCCAGACTGTATCCCAGCATGGAGAGGGAGACTGGGCATACAATTCCATCACTAGCTATAAGTGAATGACAATAACTATTAGCAGCTGCGAGAGAGACTGTTTTCTCTGAGAGTGTATCCCCTGGTAAGTTGACCACCCTCAGTGGAAGACCACACATCCAAGAATATGGGGGCAGCACAAATTGGCCTTAAAGGGTTAAAAAAGAAAGAGGATACAAGTTGGGTGAGTGTGGAAGGAGGGGTGAATATGGGAAGAGTTGGGTAAATACAAGCAAAATAGGCATGGAACTGGAAACTCTCAAAGAACTAATAAAGATAGATGATGGATGGGTGAACAGATGGATAAAAATTTAACAGACCAAATGCTAGAAATTATTTAGTCAACCAGAGATGGGAGTGCTGTTCTCAAAGTACTTCAAATAAGATAGACTTGGGTAGTAAGAATCAGGGGCTTTCTCAAACTTGTTCTTGTGACCTACTGTACTGACATGGTTTCTAACCAGTTATTAGCATCGAAAAATTTTCCGTGAAAAAAAAGAGGAAGGCTACTATCTAGTTACACATGTACTAAACTGCAAGTGTGAAAGACCAAAAAGGAAGAAATGAAGAAAGGAAAGGGGGCTGACACTAGAAATTTACTCTGATTCAGTTCATTTTTTAAAAGTTTGAATGCAAGGCCTATACTGTGGAAAATTCTGGCACAGTTTTGGTTTCTTTAAATGTAGTCTTTGCACAATGGTCACTCAAAAGTTGGACGTGTATGCACATTTTGAATCTAAATCAAAACACTAAATGAAATCTCTTTGACTATATCATTATTATTTCTGTATTGCTAGCACCGACTGCTCTCTTCCCAGAATTAGCCTCTCAATATGAATGAGCAAACAAGGTGGTGTTGATGCAGTGTCTGTACCTCCTGGTGTCATCAAGCAATCAATAGTCTTGAACTTTGTGTTTTCAGTGGTGGTTTTATCCAGTCATCCTTGGATGAACTGTGGCAGGTCAGTGTTCATTCATAGTAATAAACCCAGAAGGCACAAGGCAGATCCTTCTGCTGAATTACATTTAGAAGATTGGTGCCAGAGTTACCTGATAGTGGGGTTTGATATTTGTAGTAAAGTACTGGAAGGAGACTAACAAGCACAGCATCCAAAGACAAACAGATGAAATGTTTCAGGCTTGTGATATACAAAAAGGCACCTGGATGCAGCTGACACATCCTGTGAAATGGGAAGCAAGACCCAAGATGAATAGGAAGTATATCATGAGAAGCAACTCCACATCACCAGTACTTGGAGTCTAAGAGTCATTCAATTCAACTACTGTTCTCGAAAATTCCTGATATGAGTACAGATTCTGTGACAGTGAATTAGGGCAGGGTCTCTGGGGCAGGGGACTCAAAGAATTTAGGCTTCTGGTAGACATGTGTGGACTGAGAACAACATACAAGCCAGCTAGAAACAAATGTTGCCAGTCGTCAGGACAGGAATCAAGATCCAGGGTACACTTTGACTGAAGAGAGGAACAAGGGAAAGAGTTGGTGAGAAACAGCACTACTGGTAGCTAGACCTGGAAGCCCTGTAAGGCTTGGGGCATTGAGACACAGTGTCATGTAGCTCAGGCTGGCTCAAACTCTCCTTTTAACTGATCATCTGCCTCTATCTCCCAAATGTTGTAGTTACGGGCTTGTCGCCACACCTAGCTGAGTTCCCAGTCTCTGGATGATCAAGGTGGCACCCTGAGTTGTCTTAAAATGGAAAAGGTAATGGCAGTTGAGGAACAGATTTGTCACTGACCAAAATCCCCACTGTTCAATAGAAATATAATACAAAACAGACACATAGGTTTTTCTTGTAACTGAATTAGTTAAGTGAAAACAGGAAATTACTTTTGATTATATATTTTATTTATCCAATATACAAAGAACATTATCTTTTCAATAAGTGACTCTGAGCATTTTCAAAACATTTCTAGAAAGGGAAAGTCATGTGTGGCTAGCAACTACAATAATGGAAATGGACACGGATGCTCTGAGGGCACTAAAAGACTAGCAAAGTGGACTTGTGGTTATCAAGGAATGGCTTTGCTACTATAACATCTCAGGTTCCTATTTTAAAGAATGATGACATCATTCAAGTTTGACTGTGACCTATACTCTAGTGTTTCTAGTTTCCAAGTCTAGGGTTTCTGCTCTGTTGAATGAGAAAAAGAAATGTGCCGGTGGCTGCTCACATCCCTGCTTGTTTCTATTGCCTTCTTCCAGGGAATTTCTGAGGGTCCAAGCTTTACCAGTTCAGTGACCACTCATGTCTGCATTCCCATCTGCACACTTAGACACCAGAGAAGAAGCAACTCTGGCTTCTTTTGCCTCCTACTTTTTTCCTGTAAGCAGACAGTATTTGGTGGTTTGTTTCTGCTTTAGCAGTCTGGTTTTTTTCCTGTTCCTTATTGGTTATGAACATAAATAATAGTCATCAACAAATGGCTTGGATCCCAAGTGCTGCGTTGAGATACGTGACTTCAAAGTGATCTGATTCTGTCCCTCATGCAGTTATCTGGAGCCCTTAATGCTCATAGCAGTTTCCAGACTACTTTTTTCCAGGTCCAGATTCTATAGTCCTTCAACCTAGAGAAGAGGGATGTCTGTAAGTGAATGGAAATGTGGCACATGCGCTATGGATCATAACACAACTGTATTCTTGATTAGCCCAATTCTTTCTTCCACAAGTTACCACCACAGAGAACATAACCTATTATCTGCCTTTAATGGCTTATTTAGGAGGATGCTGTTTCATCATCCTGTAGATGGGGCTTTTAATGAAGGGGAACTCCCAGGGTCACTGGATTTACTCCTGTATATTCTTTAGTGTTACACAACCAACAGAGGTTCCAGCCAGGACTCTGATTACACATAGCAGATCGTCTGGTGTGTAGAAGCCAGCTTGCAGGAATAAAGGAACACAGATGCATGGATGAGGAATGCCTGAAGTTTTAGCAAAATGCCTTAAACTACTACCTTATTGGACTACCATCACCAGCCTATCCTAAAAGGCAACTCTTATTTCCGGTTTGTAGGGGCACTTTTGTCCAACACCCACTACTTATTTAGCTGGCACATTCCATTAGCACACACAGCATTCAAAGCCCAATTCCCTTTCTACAGACTTCATAGGGTCACAAGACCAATCCAAGGTCGTACCGTTGAGCCTTAGCCGACTGGCCCAGTACCCTTCTACAGTAACTTCCACGCCCATGCTCACGGCAAGGGGTCAGATCTTTCCGTTTGGAGGGTAACAAAAACACCAAGATCCCAAGTGGTGATTCTAGCTGGAGGTTGGAGTGGAAAAGTGGAGGTTGGGTGTTTTGGGTGTGGGCGGGATGATAGTTAGGTGAGAACAATCTTTTCTTCCTCAAAATCTGCTCCCATGAGGAACCTGCTTCCCAGGTGAAAGAACCCAGACCGGTCGGGCTCTACCCAGAGATGGAAAAAGTTTATAAGTTTCCCGCACAAACGTCTTGTACTTACTATGATCACCGCCTTGGGAGTGGGACCCTTAAATTCCCTTGGGACGGTGCCAAACCGCTGGCTGTACATTTTCGAGTCTCTTTGGGATGGTGACGACCAAGAACGGCAAAGCCCAGAGGAGTCTGCTTTCCAGACGCAGAGGCTGGTTGCCATGGTGAGCCACCCCTCCCCGTGAGGCGCTAGTGAAGGTAGGCGGGTCAAACGGAAGCCGTCCCTGGTCACTGGCCCATAAGAGCACTCTGCTGTTATCACTCCGCCCATCCATTGCCCAACCCCTGGCAGCTACACCTCCATCCACCTCCTTTTCCTCCAGGGCTCCTCAGAAGGTGGGGGTGGGGAGGGAGCGGACTGACACACCTTTAACCGAAGTGTCAAAACACAATCCAGTGGATTTTGCTAGTTATCATCTGTAATTGACCTAAAAGCCTGAGAAAGGTTAGTGAGCCTTGAGTGGAAAGGTTAAAAATTTCAACTATCTTAATCTTGATGGCGGTAATAATCACATGGCAACCTTATGCTTGAGTAGTTTTTGTTTTTTTACAATTTGCAAATTATTTCCAGAAACAACCTTTGAGGTTGACAACAATCGTACAGGGTTGAAGGAACTTAAGGTATCATCAGCTTTATTTTACAGTGAAGTCCATTAAAGCTCAAAGAGCTTAAGTGCTATATAGAGCCACACAACCAGTACTAGCTGCGTACAGCATCTTCCCACTGCACTGAACAGAGAACAGGGCTTACACTTTGGGAGAACACAGGAAGCAGACAGGTGTGATGTACTGGTGGGGCAGTAAGTAGTCTAGGGGCTTAACACAATAAAGTCTGAATGGAGGCATCAATGTGGACCCGGACTTTGGATCACAAGGTCAGCTACTCAATTCCTGAGCATCAGATCCCAGGCAAAATTGGCAACACAATCCAGGGAACTGGATGGTCCTCGGCACACTTGGGGACCAGAGCTGTAGTTCCCATAAGTGATAAGATGGAGTTACAATGTTGTAGAGCCAATTATGAATGCTACTTTGGTACCCGTTCTTAAGTTGTGGGGCAAAGACCAGAAAAGCAGATGGGGGAGGGGCAGTAACAAGGTGGGTCACTGACAGACACTAATAATCTGAGTGGAACTCATGTATACCCTCTTAAGGTCGCTTTTCTTCAAATTTGCATGCTTAGTTATTTGGAACCCAACCACTTCAGATGTTCTATACGGTACATCTCTAGATTTGGATGCCATTTCCTGAATTCCAGTTCAGCTTTTCAGCCACAAAAGAATGTCTTTCTTCTCTTAATAGTTTTTCTCTCCTACAGTACTACTTCTTTCAACTGCAGTTCAGTAAAATACTCATTTTCATTTACTGCTAACAGTTTATGTAGCCTGAAACAAACAAGAAAGAAAAAAACTAAGATGTCTGGGTTCCCTGGCAATGTCCGGAGGGGCAGGTCCTTCATCTGAGTGGCTCTAAGTGCTGGCCTTTAGACAGGTCTCCCCCCACCCCCAGCACACATACCCTCCACAGAAGGGAAGAAACTCCTTGAGCAGGGTTTGTGAAAGACCTCAAAGACTGGGTCTGCCAGCCCCACACCCTTCAGATTCGTGTAGCCCGAGGTCCTGTTCATGAGTTTGGGACGGCATGGGGAAGCTGACCCTTGGAGGCAGCCAGATGCTTGCAGGCAGCAGGTCACCATCCTGAGCTCAGGGCATGAGCCTGGGAAGGAAACTCCCAACTTAGACTTTCGCCATTCTCTGAAGGGTGAAGCCAGCTTTTCATACACCAGGCTCTGCCCCAGGGTGCCTAGCACGGAAGCCACCCAATGATTCTTCTCAACCAGCCTAGGCCTGGAGGGACCTTAGCGACTGCAAGGTAGATGAATAGCAAGCACACTACCTAGCCTGCAGCCACCCCAATCTGAAGCCTAAGGAAATGACAGAACTGACCTTCATCTGGCCACCCATAATCCCAATTTTTCCATAGCAGTTAACACTGTTACCACCACCAAACAGTTCTCAAAGAAACACTAACATAAAAACCAGTAAATAGAACAAGAAAATTGTTTTAAAATAACTTTAAAATAGAACAGCTTAGAAATAGAAATAATTGTTTCCAACTTCTATAGAATCTCAAAAAAACTCAAACAAGGGCTGGCTTCTCCATAGTACACTAGATTCTATGTTTTGGACATCAAGGTCCATAATAAACTGGAGATCTTTTATCACTGGTGATACATATTGATGCAGTTTATAAAATTGCATTTCTGGATCTTGGTATCATGTACAGTGAAAACTATGGGTCACGTTTTCAATAACTGGATGAGTGACACAAATAACAGCTGAGACCAGCAAGACTGTTATGGATGAGCTTGACAGGATTTCTTTGCTTGCTGGGACCATCATGAAATCCATGGTCTTCAGCTTTACATTTTCAGCAATGTAGTTTTGTCAGTTATCCTTAGGTGAGTGGTGAGACCTTTGGGAGCTGAATCATGGCAGGGTGACTTTCTAACATGTCCCCTTGACTAGACTATGCTTCCCAGAATCCTTCCCCATAGGCTTCTAGTTAAGAAAATCCACAGAAACATTGTGGTTAGCAGAAGTGAAGCGGCAGCAGGCTGTTGGGAAGTTGGTGCAGGGATACCAGGCATGTTGCAGTTCATACAAGCAGTCATTAATCTGCTGTCTCACCTTGGTATGGGGAAACAGCAAGTCCTACAGCCAGGCCTTCAGCTGCTACAACTTCCCTGGGCTCTTCCTTCAGCTTCTCTTAGTCCTAGGCCAGATGTTACTTCACTCTGACGAAGGACACTAGCTTCTTCTGCAGGACGTAAATGTCATCGAAGCTGGAGACGGTGAGACACTGACATGGTTCCAGGCCATCTTCTTGAATTCCAACTCTTGTTCATGGGCTCCCATGTGTCCATCCACCTTCCCTTCCTGCCAGCCTGTCCTGAATACTTTAAGTTCCAGCATTACATACAAATGACAGCCTTAGAGGCTACTGAACCATCTCCCAAAATTATGTAATGCAAAATGTTTCCCAAAACTCCCTTAAAACACATACACTACTCTTTGTTGTAGTAGTTCTGATCTTTTGATCGTACCCTAGTCACATAGTAACCACAATCTTTGTTCACAGGTCAAATGCCAACCAAAGACATTGTTACCCTTAGAACTTCACCATCAGAATTGCTAGACTACTAGGGACAAGTGGTGTGCTCTAGGGGTGAAAAACCAATGTGACTGCAGGACAGAACTAGGCAAATCAGGGCAAAGGAAGAGTAGAAGCTGACAGAGCTGTGCCTTGTAAGTTGGAAATAAGAAATGAGAAATCCCCATATGAAATTACCTAAAGCAGCAGGGCTGGGACTAAGCTACAGCAAGTGGGGCACACAGGACACAAAGTATGATGAGGCACTCAGTCCTGGCCCGGTAAAGCTGGCTAAGCAACCAATTACATTTCTTTTTGGCATTTAAGTATGGAAAGTGAGGTAAGGCTGAGCCAAGACCGGCCTGTGGGCAGGACTCCGTGCATAAGTTAATTCAGCCTCCTAACAAACATTTGAGCTAAGGGCAGGAAACAAACACAAAGGTCATCAGAGAGAATATGCTGCCAGGAAAGGCCAGGCCAGGCTGGCAGTTTTAGCTCCAAGTACTGCTCTGGCTAACGTGAGACCATCTGGGCTCAAGGAAATTGTCAGCAGCAGTGGGGAAGAACACACTTTCTAGGTTGAGGGATCCTATGCAGCATCTAGGGCCTTCAGGGAACCTAGATTCTAGATGAGCCAATGCCCTGATGAGAAGGTAACCCCATCCACCCATAGCCTGGGCATTCCCTAAACCACACAGAGGCAAAAGTATAAAGGATGTCTTGCAGTATTCATAGTGATTCACTGGTATTTTTGAAGTCACTAAAACTGTTATTGTAATATACATTATTGCACAAAAGACTGCAGTTAACAGTTTAGTGGATTAAAGAACAAAGCTTTTTATAGCCTGGTGTATTTCTAGACTCTACTAACACTAGCTGTCTAACACTGGGTTCATCTCTTCTGAATCTGTTTACCCACCTGCAAAAGTGCACAGTACCACTCAGGTTTCCTAAGGACTACTGTGAGGGTTCATTAAGTGGCCCCACAGGAGGAGCACACCAAACAGCAATGCCTTTTCCTCCTTTATTCTGTAGCATTTCAACTGCTGTTTCCCTGAGAAAATAACTGCCAGGTGTCATCCAGAAACCATCAACCAAGTTACGAAGATGGCTTGTTTGAGTGGTTTGTAGTGGCTTCAATTATATTCTTCCCTACCCCTACGTCCAGCTTTTCATCGAGCTGCAGTCCTGGGAGGAGCGGACGTTCTTTCAGCCTTCTACACTTTTTCTTCCTTTCCACTTTGCTTCCTCTAAGCTTCAAGGACTAAGCATGCCTGTTCCTCGATTGTGCTCGCCAGTTTTTCTCCTAGGGTTGATTCACAAACAAGCTCTGCAACCAGGCCAGGGCCCAGCACCTGGCAGGTCAAGGTTGTTTCTCACAAAGCCGGTCTGCAAATATCATCTCCAGTCCTACAGTCAGCAGAAGCCTCCAGTCTACTGCATTTTAGCTTCAGGTTTTTTAAGGTCCTTGGACCTAGGGAAGAGGGAGCAGGTCTGTCTGTTGAATGAGGTTTGCCATGTATAAAAAAGAGCATCACACAACCATCTCCTACTACTCTGCATCTGCATCCATTTACCAATGGTCACTTTCCTTTCTTCTACAGACTAGCAAGGTAAACAGTACAGCACTTCTCTGTTAAGAGGGAATTGCATCTTCCAGAAAATCGTAAGCTCCCGGGAGACAGGGATTCTCTATCTCCTCGTGAGTAAGCTTTACAGGCTGCAGTATCATCACCAATGGAAGTTCCCATCTGCTGTACACCAGGCAGGGTCTTAGTCACCTCCATTTCCTACACTACTGGGTTTCCTAGCGATTAAAACTGGTGTGTGGGAACAATGGAATCCAGGTCGTTGGCCCAGTAGATTTTTTTTTAAACCTTGGGGGTGGGACCTCCTTCCACTACCACAATGGCATGTCTCCTGACCTCTGTTACTAGACTTAAGGGGACAGTTCTACACAGTATCTGAAACAGTAAACTCAACAGGAAAGGTTTGTGACACACAGCCCAAATCTACCCAGAGGCTACTCTAGGAAGTGGGAATTACACTTGAGATCACACAGCTACACATAGACTCGGCCCACAGAGCCACTTAAAGCCCAATCCCCTAACTCACTCCACTGCTTGTGCAAGTCTAATGTCATCTGTGTGACACACATTCTTCCCACCATCAGAGACAGTTCACCCAATAATGGACACTTGGAGACTTCTAAGGCCTTCAAGACCACAAATGGTGATCTTCTGAGTAAGAATGCTTATGTAAAGTCTGACCCTTAAAAGGGGACCAGCCTCACTTGATCTGTTTTCTTTCCAATTTCATCACGGCGAATCAGTCCTTCTGTTCCTTTCCCAAGAGGAGAGCCCTGGAATACCAACATTCTGGATCTCAAGAGCAATCTTCACAGTGCTGCACAAACACTCCCTCCCTTACAGTTTGTGCAGTGGAACGTTTACAGGCCTTTATGCCCCTCTGCACCGAATCAAATCACTGACCCTAGGTTTAAAACTCAGGGCCCACATCTGGCTGGCACCCACCCCATCCCCACACCTAACTGTATGGAGCACCTTGGCAACCAGGCTGCTGCATCCCGGAGGCGGGTTCCACCCAGGCTGAAAATCTCTGTGATCTAGGAGAGAATTAACATCATGGGTCAGCATGACAGGAGGAGAGAAGGCAAGGTCAGGGTAGGGTGGGAATGTCCCCCAGCACTGACCACTGGTGTGCCAACCCCTCCTGTCTCCTCTTCTGGGGTTGATGCAGAGATATAATCTTCTCTGTTTTCTTCTCTGTCCTCCTCAGGGCCAGGGGGTTCTTGTTTCACGGGTACAAGGTCTGTGTGTACTGCCTAGGAGAATAAAGAAAGGCAGTAGTTAGGACAGTGTCCCGCGCTACCGTCTCGCCAGCAAGAACGACGCAGAACACTCGGATCCTTCTGCAGTAAAGCTTTAATGCATCTTGAGAGATAGATGATCAGCTTCTTAGAGGGAGACCCCAAGCTAAGAAACCCAGCCCCTTATATAAGCCTAGGAGCTCCGAGTGAGATGTGTAGAGCCGGGATTGGTGGTTTGCACATCACCCCAGATGACGTCACGGGAGAGGCACAGTTTAAACGGTTAACTCCAACTGACAGCGACAGTTAACTCCAACTGACAGCGACAGTTAACTCCAACTGACAGCGACAGTTAACTCCAACTGACAGCGACAGTTAACTCCAACTGACAGCGACAGTTAACTCCAACTGACAGCGACAGTTAACTCCAACTGACAGTGGATGTCAGCGCCATCTTCTAACGGCAATAGCGATAGCGAGGGCGGCTCCTCACTTGCCAGCCTGAGGCAAGTTTTTTTTTTTTATTAGCCAATCCACTATGCAGACAGACCTCACTTTTATCACTAAGAAATGCCACCTCTCTGCCCTTCCTCAACCATCTTCAGTCTCCTGAGAGCTGGGCAGTATGGCAGGCAAACTTAGTTGCCTGTGGAGAGTAAGGCACCTGCTAGATGTGCTAGATAATTCAACAGACTGGTCATCAGCAGCACACCATCACTGTTCAAAGTGCCACCATCATGGCTCACTATAATTCTGGTTACAGACCACCTGTATGGCACCCATAGGACACTCATTACCTCCCTAACCTTGCTAGGGCAGCCAGGCTGCGATGTGGGTGAAGTCAGGAAGGCTGTGTCTGCTGCCCACTCCTCTGGAGCATCGGCCTTTTCTTGCTTCACCTGAGGCAAGGTCACAGCCCAACTCTGGGCAGAGCACTGGGCCTCCTGCATAAGAAAGGAGGGCAACAATCTTGGTCTCAGCTCCATGGCACAAGGTTGGGTGGAGCTTAGAAGAGTGGGGGGAGATCTTTACCTGTAATGGGGCTTCAGAGGAAGCTGCAGCAGGACCAGGCACCTGCAAAGGACTGCTGGCACCTTCTCGTAAAAACACAAGGTCTGTGTCAGGTGGGGGCAGCACAGAGTCTCTACCTGCTTGCTGCTTGGCTGAAGCCTGAGCAGGGCCTGGTGGGGCTGTAAGCACAGCCAAAGGGGCCTTTAAGGAAGGGCTCACACGGAGTTGTCGAGGAGAACCAAGCCTCTTTCGACAAGAATGACGTGGAGGCGATACTACTCCCTCCTCAGACCCTGACCCAGTACTGGGCAGCAGTCGCTTCTGTGAGAAAAAGATTGACAGCTATGGTCAACCTGGTGCCATCTGACCTTACCCACCCTGCCCTACTCAATGTGCCTGCTAACTTCCCGTCAGACCCAGCAGATACCCTGCTGCTAACATGAGCTCTCATCACTGAGTCTGCTAATTAATCTCCTGTTAGCAATGGCAGGAGAGCTGGACTCAACCCAACACATGTCTGCAAATTCTCAACTGGAGTCACTACACCACCCACCCATCTACCAGGCCTGCCCACCACTCCCAAACATGGGGGTGGGCCAGGCCCAACCTAGCCCATCCACCTAACCCTTCCTGCCCCACCCACCATGGCAAATTGCAGGCACTGGCGCCAACGACACTTCTGGCGCTTCTGGTTGCTGCCCCCGAATTTGGGCTTGTCGCAGCAGAAATCGCAGTGGCCACAGTCCATCCGCCGTAGGCAGGCTGCACAGGCCCCGCACTTGCGGTTCTGCCGGTGATTCGTGTAGGGCTGCTGGGGTGGAGGGGAACGGTGCTACTGTCACTAAGACTAGGAGAGGCCATCCTCAACACCCCTTTCACTACTGTTCCTGGTGTTCCTCTAGCCCTCTGGAGGAGCTAGCTACACATGAAGCTCAGCCCACAACCTCTCCTCAGCATCTGCCAAAATATGCCACAATCGCTGTGCCGGCTGGTCTCCAAGACCTTTAGGATTGAGGCTGCTCCATTACTGTATCATTAGAGCACCTGCTATCAAGACACTGTCTTTGGCCCTCACTTCCACCAGGACTTTGCTGACCTTCCATTAGTCCTCATCACTGCCACATGTGTTGACTAGTCACTCTACACAAACGTATTTACCTGCACCCTTGTGAATGTCACCATTCAGTCTGTTTGTCATGCACCGTCCATTGATGTTGGCTCATCTGACAGTAAGCACCACACTGCTAACCACTTCTTCCCCAGGAATTGCTTCTCCATCATAGTATGCACTATTACTCCCTACTATTCCCATTACAGCATCTGCTTCCTTGGGGTTAGAGAAGCATCAGGAGCATCTAGGTTTATCCAAGTAAGGTGGGGCCACTCACTAGCTCGTCCTCGTCTACACAGTAATAGATGAACTCAGCAGGTGATGTGGGCGCTAGGTCGCTGATGTGCTGCAGAGGCAAATGTGCTGGGGTCAGGGTAGGTCCTGAGTAAGTTTAGGGTTGTGCCTTCCCCCTGCCCACCAGGGCCTTACCAGCTCTGTGCGCTGTGGCTGCTGCGCTGCAGGAAGTGGAGGCAGTGGCTGAGCTTGGGAGTGATGCTGGGCAGCCACCTTCGAGCCACTCTTACGACACTTACGTTTACCCTAGAAGTGGAAAGGCAGCTAAGGTTTGGTGGTAGCATGTCGACACTGGACCCCCAGGAGTGCAGGAAGCATGCATTGACTGGTCAGGTGGAGTGTGCAGTCAGACACTCACAGTGGGGGAAACCACAACCTGGGGAGGGCATCGGTGACATCCTTGAGGGTGGCCATGGAAGCGATGAGCAAAGTGCTGGCAGAGAAAGCAGGTAGGCAGAACCAAGGAGATGACCATGGGACAGAAAAGAAAATAAGACATGAGGCAGGCAAAGCCAGACTGGTGGAAGCAACAGCAGCCATGGTGGTAAATTTAATAGCAGAGTGAGCTCTGGTCCAGCTGTGCTCCGCCAGCACAGGTCCTTCCACCTGACTCACCCAAAAGCAGCGCCGCTGCATACACCTCCACTGACGCTTGACACCAGGGCGGGAAGGGCGAAGGCAGGCTCGGCAACGGCCACAGTCTTCTTGGGTCCGACAACCCCGACACACTCCACACCCTCGGCTCTGTGGGGGGAAGGGGAGTGGAGTTGTGATGTATGGGGTCAGGGCCTTGAAGGCCAGGAACTAAGGAGAGCCTTGGCCCACCTCATCTGACTGACTCACCTTCTCCACAATCCGTAGGCAGCGTCTCTGCTCACACTTGCAGAAGAGTCCTGAGGCCACCTCGTGTGGCAGCTGTAGGCGGCAGATGGAGCAAGTCCCACAGTCTTCTTTTACAAGGCAAGCTGTACACTCTCCACAGCCAACTCTCTGTCAGAAATGCATGGGGTAAGATTAGAAGCCTAGGTAGGGCACTCAAGGACCACTATCCTTCCAAATGTTAGCCATGCTTATTAGTCTTTCATTAACCTCCTTACTATAGCTAATAAACTACTGATTAGCTTACCAACACCAAAGCCACTACTATTCCTTCTACTAATACCCCATTAATTCCCATTATCACATCTACAAACAAACCAATAGCCTGGTCTGAATTCAAAAATCAACAACAAAAACAACCAACCTATCATGCATTATAGACCTGTCATGACTCCTAAACCCTCCATCAGTCCTATGACAGCCTGCTCTCTTATCGACTATGGAAAACATAGTGTTCTTACCCTAAACATTCTCTGTTCTCGGTTGAAGGCAATTCTCTGTGCTGGTGGAAGAAGAAGAATGGTGAGAAATGGAAAAGAAGCAACACACACAGACACATGGCTTCAGCTACTACCTGAACCCTGACTCTCACCATTCTGCCTATGACAAAAGAGTGAGGTCACAGGCTGAGTCCATGTGTGCCCAAAGCCTCTACCCTGACATGTACCACACAACCTCCAGCTTAGCCTGGCGCTGGGTCTAATATGTGGTCTGTCTCCTACCCCTAGGGACTTACCTCGGCAGTCTCTGCACAATGCCTTGAGCCTCTGCCTTCTGATACCATCCCATGAGAAGTGGATCCCACAATTCTCACAGCACCTAAAGTGAAGAGAGCAGAGCTATGTACTCCCAATCCCACGCCTCACCCACCTGGCTCACCTTAAGCCAACACTCACCCGGGAGCAGGCAACGAAGCCGGAGCTGTGCCAGAGCCAGCCTTACTCCCATCCCGGGGAGTCTCCTTCCTGACCTCACTCTTCTGCGGCCCAACCTGACGTTTCTTAGCCTTGGCTGGTTTAGAAGGCTTCTTTTTTTGCTTTCTGGGGACAGTCACAGGATGGGTCTGGAGATGAAGACAAGAAGAGTGTGGGTTAGTACATGGGTATCATGTGACACATTGCCCTAGCATGGACACTGACATTGTAAAGTACCTTGGGAGCTGGATAGCACAAGATGCCTTGTCTGAAGTCAAAGAGAGTAAGATCACACGCAGGGCCTAGGTATCGAGTCAGTTCAACTTTGCTTCGAATCTTATCTCCTGTGGGGCTGAAAATGAACCACAATGAGTTTGCACCAAGAGGGAGCTAATGTCATGCCACCCATACAATATCCCCACAGATGTGGTGAGATGCAGGAAGCAATCTGGATTCAGCCTGTGAGCCCCACCCAAGTCCTACCTCAATTTAAGTAACAGGAATACAAAATATGAATATAAATATCAATGCATACAAATGTTAATTAGTAATACAGCTGTGAACCTCATTTTGATCCATGCCATCACATATTCTATGGTAATCCCATAAAATTATAATACAGGGGGAAAATTCTATTATCTGGCAATACTATAATAATTTTAATGTCACATACACAATGTGATATAGGCATCTGTTGTGGTATTAGTGTAAACAAGCCTAGTGTAATACCTGTAGCACACTGATATACATTACATACTTGATTAATAAAAATTACAATTACTGGCTTATGAACTTAGTGTGATTTCTATCATTTTAGAGTCCTACATATGAAAAAAATTAATGTAGTGTGAAATGCAATGTTAGGCTAGTAGTAAACTAATATAATTAAATGATTACTGCTTCTCTTGACTTCCGTGTTTGATTTAATCTTGGAATTTCTATTCAGCAGAGGAGCACATTCCATAGCATATACACAGTTTTGTGGTATCCAACAATGCCCTAAGATTACATTGTCTAATGACACCACACATCTCTAGCTTTATAATCTATGATTTTAATATGAAAAAAGTCATTAAATAACATGTTTCTCAGAATGTATCGGTACCAGTAAGCAATGTATGACTATATCAATATCTAGCTTAGGTGTATAGTGTAGTGTATTATAATCACTGAAGTTTGTATATTTCTCAGATTGTATTAGTATGGTAACTGTATACAGACACATAATCAGACAGGCACTGTGCACATGTCTTTAATATCAGCACTTGGGAGGCAAAGGGAAGTGAGTGCATCTCTGAGTTTAAGGCCAGCCTAATTTATACAATCAGTTCCAGTATAGCTAGGGATCTATAGAGAGACCCTGCTCCAAAATGAATAAAAATGAAGACACATAAACATACTTACAACATGTAACATCATGAGTGTTGAAAATATGAGTAAAAATCAACACCAAATACTTACTAAGCAAGTAACATATAAATATGTATTTTGGTTTGGTTTGGTTTGCTTTGAGATGGGGATATCATTTTAACCCAGAGGGCTTATACAACTCATATGTAAAGAAAGATGACCTAGAATTTCTGATCCTCCTGCCTCTTCTACCCCAGTGGTAGGATTTCAGAAGTGTATGTAGTGCTGGAAATCAAACTCAAGGCTCTATGAACACTAGACAAGTAGCCAATACTTAAATGTTATGTATTACATACCAAATGTATGACCATGAAAGCTTATAATGAACTATTCTTTTTAAAACATGAAAATGAAACTATATTCAATACAAAGTATAAATAGTTAATGTTGAGGTCTTTTCACTTCACTTCTACAAGAATCATCAGAGGTATTCATTATCTCCTGAAACAAACGTTCTTATTGTTTGTAAAAACAGGTAACTTTTGAAAAGGTCTCCTTCCAAGGGAAAGGACAGCAATGCTTATCATACTGATACTTGATTATCTAATCTCAAATATACAGGCTGCCTTTCCTATACACAGTGCAGCACATATGCTACTTAGCCTTCTTTATATCATCCTATGGGAATTGGTATTCTAGGAAATGTCAAAAACAGATGTTTTAGATTCTGATACTACTGTGAGAAATTTTTTTATCTCTGGCCCAGAAGTATCGTATTTCCTACCAACATCCACAAAACTAACAAACCCATTTACTAGTCTGATAAATATTTACCTTTTGACAATTATTTGTAAGTTTTGAAATTTTTATACAATTGCATATGTACCAAGTTAAAAACATCAAAGTTGAAAAATGTCTGAAATTTTGTAATATTCTTTTAGGGAAATGACAACTTACATAAAGGGTGTAGAAATGTTAGTAGGTGTATCATGAATACACTCTAACACATGCTTGTGTATGGGAGCCCACAGTGACTCCATTCCATCTTGATTTAAGGTCAGAGAGTTCAAGCTTGTTCTTGCTCCTCAAGGCCAAATAACAGGATGTTTGACCAAAGGTGTAGTTACTAGATGTTTTGAGAATTAAGGAAGTGATTATGCTTGTTTGTTCCTTGAACCATGGTTAAGGAATGCTTTTGCCCTCCCCTTTTGCTTTGGGTATAAAAGGACTATGAGAAAGATTCCCAGCTGCTGCAGTATTCACTGAAAGCCCTCCAGACGTCATCATCTGTCTGTTGTCTCTTTCTAAATCCTCACTCCCCTCTTCAGGTACTGTTTAATAGGTTGGCTGGCCCCAACACTTAGGAATTTTAATATTGATGTACTTATAGTCAATTCTCATTATGTGTAGTAATCATGTATTATGAAGTTCTACAAAGCCTGAATTCATGCAGGAAGATCCATTGCTACTACAGGAAATACACAGGTGGGTTCCAACAAGCCTGTCACATTTTCAGCAGCTAATCAATGGTCTTGTTTTATGTGACCCTGTTTAAGGACCCTGTAACATTTTTTTCTTACAAATGATCAGTTAGTAATTAAGCACCACACTGGCTTCAGAGGATGTTTTGGTCTTGTTTTTCTGAAGATACCTGATATACAGAACACACATCACAAGTTTAATGTTTTTATACCATATCACCTTCTGAAACATGCAAGCCAGACAGAAGTAGCTAAATGATTTACATTTTCCTAATGCTGACCAATTTGTCTTTGGCTTTCTTCATAACAATGTTGTTCACTATGCTTTGCTGGCCATCAGTTCATGGATTTACAGATTCAGCTGCTTTCCCAACGTCTCTGAGCATCAAGTACTACAAGATGTTAATTTTTGTTCTTTCCAGAGCAGCCTCACACACATCTCAGCAAGTTTCCTCTTCTCTTTCAGGATGTACTGTTGCCCCCACCCCCACCCCCACTGTGAGTTGCTTGTCAGCCAATAACCACAGGTGCATCCTGTTTTCTAGTCCTGGCTTACAGCCCCAGCCTTGCCCCACTGGCATCAACCTCTAATTATGAAAACACGAACTCTTACACCTGGGGTTTCTCCACTGTGCTGTAAGTCTGTATATAAGGCTGCTCCCTTCTTGCAATAAACACACAAACACCCATGCGTTCTCTTAGCACAAAGGGGACGTCTTGTCTTTCATTTGCCTGATACATCAGACTTGCTCAGGCTTTCCCCTGAGACATTAGACTTGCTGTGGTGCAGGCGCCACAATGTACCATTCTGATTTTTAACACTGTAACTCAAGCAGATAGTACATGTAATTCATGAAAGCTTATCTGACAAGGAGAACACTAGAAATACACTTCAGCACTTTTTTGGGAGATTTTAAAACAACAAATTTGGCAACAAAAATATGGCACTAAATAGACTACGGAAAGGATGCTCGATTTGCAGTACAAAAGGAAACAAAAAGTTCTTGTTCAACTTATTGGGAATGCAAGCACTAGATAATTCAAATTTGTGACTGGCCCATTGGTGTCTGTGAATAATCACAAATGCACTGTGAATATTGGCTTTGGTCAAATAAGCTTTATTAACAATGGGTGACTATGAAAACACAAACTTTTAATAAGGGACTGACTACGTGCACAATATTAACTCCATCCACAGAGTTAAACAAACCTCTTTAATTACTAACAAGGTTCGACTCCATTGGACACTGTCCACAACCTGCCCATTACCTCTGATAATAGATGTCTGAGCGTCCACAAGAGGCCCCTGACTTTCGAAAGGCCTCACGTCGCTTCCAGCCAGGGCCCAGGGCTGGGCAGTCCTGCCAGTCCTCAGCCATAGGTACTTTGGAAATGAAGAAGTGCCTAGGAGGATTCGAAGTAGGTAAGGTATGGAAGAAATTAGTGGCGACCTGTTTCCAGGCCACAACAGGTGCTGACTTTAATACTTGCCCCAGACATGCACATGTATTTCCTTGTCATCCCTCTTGTCACCCTCCAACATACATACTACATCCTCCAAACATATATACTACAATCTGGCATGAGGTCCCTATGTCTCTTGTCCTCAGCCCCCTACTTCAGTTTAACTTAATTTACACTTTCCTTGACTCGAGTTTCCAATGTCTTTCAGTGTTTTAGCTGCATTTATATGCATGAGAGCTTCCGACCCCTCCATACACCAGTCCCCTTATTCTCTTCATTCCTCAGCCTGCAGTCTCCCCTCAAGTCCAAGAGCTCTCCCCAAAACTGATTTTCCCTCATTTTTCTGGCCCACAAGTCCTCTCCAGTCTCATCCCTCACCCCTACTGCCAGCGTTAGCTACTCTTCCCCTTAACTTTGTCATTCTCCATTTCTCTTACCATCCTGTGGAAATTTCCTTGTTCCTTCACACAGTGACCTGCCTCTCAATTTCTGCTTGCCTTCGGAGACGATACCACCCGTGTCAGTCTTCTGACATTCCACTTTTCGTCCTCCACGAGTCTCTAGTCCCTCATAATTCTAGCCCTGTTATCTGTTCTGTCACTTGTCTCAGGCCCCGTCTGCTCACTAACGGCTTTGGGTTCCCATTTCTATCCCGTTAGCATGGAGGTTTGACATCTCTCTGAAGGTTCTGATCTCTTCCATTCCTCTCCATCCTCGTCCCAGAGCCTCGACGTTGCTGTCATCGCCCTGAGCCACATCCCTTCCCTTCCTGTCTTCTGTCCAGTTTCCCCAGGGCTTTCTTTCAATACGCAGAAGACGCCATTCCTCCTCTCGGCCTCAGGGCCCTTCGCGTCTCCCCGCTAGCTTTCGGAGCCCCAATCCCTCCCCAGCTCCTCCTGAGCTCTCTCCACTTCCACGCCCACGGCTGTCTCACCAGCTGGACACGCGGCCCTTAGCTTCCACCGCGCTAGGCCCGTGGACCCATGGGGAAGATTCCGCCCCGCGCGCCCCGCCTGGTCCACTCTTCCTCTTCCTCCTCCACCGCAGGCTCGGCCAAAGCACTAGTTTTGTAGCCTCGGCTGCCGTTGGCTACTCCCGGAACCGGAAACCCACGGACTGCCTTTTGGGCTCCGTCCAGGACCTACACCTGTGCGCAGTCTTGACACGCCTGCCCTCAGTGGGGAGGCTCCAGCGCTTGCGTACTGCGGCTTTTCAGGGGTGCGCGGGTTTCCAGGGATCTGCTGCGCCTGCGCGCTGACAACATCCGCAGCCTGCCCAGTCTCTTTCCTCTTTGCCTGTGCGCCTGCGCTCCTAGCTTTCCCAGTCAGTGCGCGCTTTCCACTGTGCTTGTATGGAGAGCATAGGCGACATCCGGTCCCAACACAAGGGGGGTGTGGACAGTCTGGCCAGCTCGACCCGCTCCTATTTTTTGTCTCCACAAATAGTAGGCTCACGATCGCCAAGCTCGTGTCTGTCCACTTCCTTCATAGGAGACTCCCCCCACACACACTTGGCTTCTGCGTCTACCTTCTTCAGGATTGGTATTCACTGCTTCCTGAAACTTCCAGGGGCACTGCATCCTGGCCAGGTTTCTTCCTTGGGAACGAGGGAGGAGGCGTGACGCGCAAGCAGGTAATGAGGGGACCAAGTGAGAGCTTGCTTGCTCAGTGGGAGGGGATGGTGAACTGACCAAGGTAACCTGTTTTGCTTTAAGCGAACTCCATTTGTGTGCTTCACCCAATGGCTCCTCGGCCCTGCTTGTGTTATGATGTTAGGGGGTGCAGACCACCGGGAAAGACCTCTCAGACTCAATCAAATCCAATTTGTTGAATTTTATTAAGCTGGCCAGCTGACTGTGAGAGATCTAAACTTCATGTTACAAGCTGGGTCTAAGATTCAGTTTCTTAAACAAAGGGCATTCATCAACTGAGAGGCCAGACACCAGCAGGCAAGACTAACGCCATGTTAGGCTGGACACCATGTTAAGAAGCTGCCGACCAGACCCTGAACCCAGTTTCCAGAAAAACCACAAATAGTTAAAAGTTGCTCCAAGGCCCCCACATCCTGCTGGATCAGCCTGACACTGAGGAAACAGACATTATCAGATGTCTGAATAGGTCACCAGATGCTCTAACCAAAATTTCCAAAAGCTTACTTAACCTCAGGGCCAGTCGACCCAGGAATCATCCCCCTTGAACCAATCAGAAAACGCCCAAGTCTACAATGGGGGGTGTCCCTTTATAAGCTCAACCCCCTGCTGGTTGGCGCCTCCTCTCAGCCACTCCTCTCACCAGCTGCTTCGAGTGCTGCTGGACAGTCGGAACTGAGTTCATTGTTAATAAACCCCTGTGTGTTTGCATGGGTACTTGGCTCTGTGATAGTCCCGCATCCTGGGACTATAACACAACAACATCCCTGACAGTGGGGGACTCCTGAGTCAGCCTCACAGTATCTCAAAGCAGTGACCAAATAACGATAGTTGCTGCAGCCCCCCCCTCGAAACTTGCCCAAGTATATCCAAAGATTAAAAAACTAAAACCCCAGCCTATCAAAAATGTACTAATATAACTGCTGCCTGCCTAACCAGTTGTATTTGAGATGACCTAACTCTTCCTGAAATTCCCCTAGCTATGATTAAAAGAAGCCTGTGTGCATCTGGCGTTGGTGGCGCACACCTTTGATCCCAGCACTCGGGAGGCAGAGGCAAGTGGATCTCTGTGAGCTCGAGGCCAGCCTGGTCTACAGAGTGAGTTCCAGGGCAGCCTCCAAAACAACACAGAGAAACCCTGTCTCTAAAAACAAAACAAACAGAAGAAGCCTGTGTGCATGGGGGGGGGGGGCATCATTTTGTACAAATGGTGAACCCTGCATGCTGATTGTTTCTGCAGAATAAATGCTCTTTGGTTTTGCATACTATTCGAGTTTGGGGTCTTCTTCAGTGTTTCATGGACCCTTAAAACTGCACCCTCCACACTGGGATGAGAACCTGCCACCCAGGCTAAAAGGGGAGAGGAGCTTTTAAAGGTAAAACCCACAATTGCTTCATTTCTGAAGAATTTGTAGCTATGTGCACTTTGCTCTTGCACACAACCATAAGCATGTTTACAGAAGTCACTGCAAGCAACTCGTCATTTCACAGCAGTTACACATTGCTGGGACGCAGATAAAGGAATTATAGTTAGAATTCCCTGGAATTGTTTACCAGATTCTGCTGATAGACTGGACTCCTAAGTTGGCTGTCTTTTGAGCAGAATGAACTTGCTTAGGCCACTGCATCCTCCACTGTCTCTGGATCATGTATATCCAATCATTGATTCATACTGTTGTTGGGCGAAATATTGATATTGGACCAGTAGAGCCAATGTCTTAACCACACTGATGTTTTTCATACATGTAATTAGACAGTTGATGATATGATACAAAGCCTATGGTGACATCAAGAAGTAACAAGGGGGAATGAAATGTAGGTCAGAACTTGGCTGCCTGTATCTAGACAGTATGGGTCTGGCTATTAACAGTCATTAGAGTGTTCGATTAGAGGAGCCTGGTGGTTGGAGGCCCTTACAGATAGGCTCCTCAAACACTTCACTCCCCCTTTTTTGGTTACTACTGATAAACAATCAGGAATTGGGAAGGGGGATGACATTATCATTATACTACTTCCTGCTGAATGGGGGCATCAAAGTCCATACTTGACCTTCACTGTCAGGAAATAATTGGGTGTCACCACCACCTCTGACTCCATAGATAAGGACTAGTGATCCTTAAATAGCAGTTGATTAAACATCTGGTTAGGAATCTTTTGAATCTTTTGAATGTGATGATAACTCAGAATGAAAGAGCTCCTTTCTCCTAGACCCCTGGGAGCCCTTGGTTAAAGCGTTGGTAGGAGATCACTGAGTCCAATTTCTAGTGACTACTAGGGTGGAACTCTCCAATTTAAACCCCTGCCCCCTGGGAGCACTCTCCCAAAGAAAAATCCCTACTTGGGCTACTAGCATGGTCAGGAACTGCTACCTCACACCTGGATGCATCTTCAGCCTGGTCATAAACAAGTAAACCATCCCTCTATAGTTCCAGAATATTCTTTCCCTCTTCTGTGCCACAACTTCCACAAATTGGGCATCACTATCACCTTTTTGACTTAAGAAACTGAAATCTTTTTTTTTTCCGCCTGCATATCAAGTTCTGTTTAACCTCTCCTCGGGAGAAACTCTCTCAGTTTCTCCTGACTTTCACCAACTGAACCCTATGACTCCCAGAGAGCTACTCAAAGACCTACACAGGGATTCCACGGGTATGAACAGAGATCACCCTCCCATCCACCCAACTTGGTGGCTTATCTCCTACAAGTTGTAATAAATCTGCTGGCCAGTCCCCTGCCAAGCTGAGTCAGACGGTATCCTTTGAGCTAAAACACCAGACTAAATATTGTTCTACATATCAAGAGACACTAAAAGCTAACATTCCCGCCCTATTCCAGTCTGCCTGGAACACACTTTTCCTACTTGCCCATAAACTGGGAACTTGAGGCCACAGTCTGCTGGTAAGAAGTTCCATACAATCAACAAACATACTGGAACTATCCCTCCCCATAGTCCCAAATCCCTTTACTTCACTCACCCTTCTTGCACCCAGTCTTCAAGGTTGTACTGTCTTAGACATAAAAGATGCCTTCTCCTCTATTCCTTTGCCACCTGTTAAGTCAACCCTTCCTTGCCTTTGAATCAACACACTCTGTGTCAGGCGAAACCAGCCAACTGACATGGACCTGAATATTCCAAGGGCTCAGAAAGTACCCTCAGTTGTTCAGGGAAGTTCTGTGAGAACAATTAACAGACTTCTGGACCTTCTATTCCGAATCAACACTTTTCCAAAATTGTCCATGATCTCCTACGGGCAACTGCCAACCCAGCCACTTACCTTCAAGACACCTAAGACCTACTCCTGTTTCTTAAGATCCTGAGGTACCAAGTCGCAAAAAAAAAAAAAAAAAAAAAAAAAAGACAAAAAGGTTAAATTTGTCAAATGGAGGTTTCCTACCTGGGATAAAATCTCTGGGAAAAGAGTACCCTCACTGCACCTCAAAAAGGAAACCACCCTCCAGATCCCCTTTTCCCAGACCAAAAACAGCTATGCAAACTTCTGGGGGTGGCAGATTAATGTTGTCTTTGGATCACTGGTCTTGCCAAGATAACAAGGACTTTCTGTTTGACCACTAACCTGTCCAACAGGGACAGTCAGCATAAGACCGGGGCACCTAGGAGAAAATGGGGGATAAGGGGTATAAGAAACGGACAGCAAGACAGTATTCTGATCAATCTGACAACCTTTATTCATTCTAAAGGGGTTTATATAGGGCCGTAGGCAGGAAGTAAGGAGGGGAGGGAGTGGGCGTGTTGCCTGCATCGAGGAAGCTGGGGGGGGGCAAAAATGTCAGTGGGAGGAGTAGGTCATCCTGTGTCGCCTGGTAACCTAACTGCAGGTTCCGATTCTATCTTTTACAATATCCTCTACTCCTCAAACCTATCACCTGAGAGACTTGGTAATTTTCACTAGGCTTAATCTTTAACTGACGGATAAGCCGCGAGCCTGTTTCTCGGAACTTGCTTCCTATCTTAAGAGGCGGTATTTCTACAGTGTGGCCTGGAGTCGCGTCCTCTCTAACATGATAATGCTAGGGCTGGATTATGGCAGAGGTCCCTGACATACCACTGAAGCAGACCAATCATGCAAATGGGCTGAGATAGAAAACTAAGCCTTTCAGGACACAAGGATGCTCTAACCCAGGCTCCAGCTCCATCAGCCCTGTCTCCCCTTTACAGCTGTTCAGAGTCTCAGCCCAGCAGCAGTGATGCCAGACAGTGACCTGAAGGTACTGTTAAATAATTGTGAGGATCTGCTGGACATTTTCCCCAGACTAGCTTCCCAGACCCCCACCTCCTCCCAAACTTCTCCTTGCCTGAGGCAGACATTGACTTGTTTACATGTGGGAGCATAATGAATGGGGCTCAAAGGACAAGAGGTGCTGAGACCACCCAAAAGGATATTTTCCCTGGGCACCGTCGCACAAAAGGCTGAACTGACTGATCTTGCCTTGGCTTCTCTTGGGAAAGGGTAGCTGGGAATAAACATCTTCAAAGAAGCAGATATTCCTTCACCAGCCTTCATGCCCATGCTGCAATTTATAGGCTAAGCGGGCTCCAAAGTTTGGAAGGAAAAAAACATCAAAAATGAAAAGGAAAACCTAACACTCCTTAAGGCTATCTGGCTCCCCAAGGAAATAGCAGTCATACACTGCAGGGATCATCAAAAGGTTGACATTGACAGATGGAGGATCTCTAGTGGCCTGCTGAACTCTGCATTGAACCATGTACCATTCTGCCCATAACCTTTTTTGATCCAGTGTTCTCTCCTCAGCAGACATACACACGGAGAAAGAAAACAGTGCCTATCCCTAGGGAGCATCAAAGGACCCTGTGGGATACTGGAGCCTGCTAGACTCCAGGATCATCCTTTCCACAGCCCTCAAACACCTGCTTGTGGACCACCTACATCAGGGGACTCACCTAGATTCCACCAAAGTGAGTCACTATCTAAGTAACAGATCTGCCAGGTTCCGAAACTGACTATCCTGCCAATCTTCTTCTGCCTTCCGTATGCTCAGGTCAACTCTAAAAAGGAGCCAGAGGTACTGGTCTGCAAGCCATTCTCTGTTTCGAGATATTTGATTACACTGTGTAAAGATATGTCATTGTGATTGGTGAAATAAACATCTAAATAGCCAATAGAAAGGCAGGAGGTACAGGGGGACTTCTGGACAGAGAGAGTTCGGGGAAGACAGAGTTGCCAACCAGACACAGGGTGCAAGATATGCAGGAGGAGAGGTAAAAGCCAAGAGTCACATGTCAGCACGTAGATGAATAGAAATGGATTAATTTATGGATTAATTTAAGTTACAGAGCTATTTAAAAACAAGCCTAAGCAATACACTGAACTTTCATAACTAATAGTAAGTCACCATCTCATTTTTTTGAGCTGGCACACCCCCCCAAAAATCCATCTATAAATGGCGCCCATTTTTATTCATCTATGTGACTCATTGCTTTTACCATTTCTCCTGATGTCTTGCTCACAACTCCTCCTTTGTTCTTCCTAGAGCTCTAACTATCTGGAAGTCCTGCCTATACCTCTTGCCTAGCTATTGGCCATTTAACTTTTCTTCTTCTTCTTCTTCTTCTTCTTCTTCTTCTTCTTCTTCTTCTTCTTCTTCTTCTTCTTCTTCTTCTTCTTCTTCTTCCTTCTCCTTCTCCTTCTCCTTCTCCTTCTCCTTCTCCTCCTTCTCCTCCTCCTCCTCCTGCTCCTCCTCCTCCTCCTTCTCCTTCTCTTTTGGCTTTCTCTGTATTGCTTTAGAGCCTGTCCTGGAACTCGCTATGTAGACCAGGCTGGCCTCGAACTCACAGAGATCCACCTGCTTCTGCCTCCCAAAGCTGGGATTAAAGGCATGTGCCACCAACGCCCGGCCATTTAGCTTTTTACTAAACCAATCACAATGACACATCTTCACACAGTATAAAGTAATATTCAGCAATAGCTGTGGATTTGATCAAGGTTGATAGGGAACATATTTGATCAGGGGAGATCCCCCTGAAAATCCTGGCTACAGATATAAAGAAATAAATCTTAAAAACTGTAAGACAGGTGATATATATTTTTTCTGCTCAAACATAAAACAAAAAATTCATCTTTGGTTGGCTTGTGTAGAATGCAAAGTCCATACTTGAAAGTTTTGTGTTTTCAGAGTAAGGGGACCAGACACCAATGACAACATGTGGCTCAGGTGATCCAGCCTCTCAGAGTGCCTCTGTTGCAGTTTCCTCAGAGTTCTGCATCCATAACAGTTTCAAGGATGTT